TCTCGTCGTGTTCTGTCCTCCCAGGACGTCACGTTCGACGAGTCAGTCCCCTTCTACCGCCTCTTCCCCTACCGTACTCCTTCCCTCCTCCCCCCACCGGACTTCCTGGTGCCAGTTCCCCCCCCGGTAGACCCCCTCCCCCCTCAGGTTCCTGCCCCTTCAGGTGTGTCCCAGGTAGACACAGTCGAGCCAGTCGAGGTTGCTGCTGAGTCTGGTCCTGCTGCGGGTGCAGAGTCTGGGGGTGCTACGCCTGCGGGTGCTGAGCTTAGGGGTGCTGCTGCTGGGGGTGCTGAGCCTGGGGGTGCGAGGCCGGGGGGTGCTGAGCTTGGGGGTGCTGAGCTTGGGGGTGCTGCTGCTGGGGGTGCTGAGCCGGGAGGTGCTACGTCAGGAGCTGCTGAGCCTGGGGGTGCTGAGCCTGGAGGTGCGGAGCCTGCGACTGCTGGACCTGGGGGCTCTCCGGTTGCTCCGTCTCGGCGAGAGCCGCTCTCTCCACAGGAGCTGCGCGAGTGGTTTGCTCGCCGCTGGAGGCGTGCTACTGGAGCTGACGCTCCTTCGACTGCTGAGGGTGCTGGTGCTGCCGGTCCCGGAGCTGCTGGGCCTGCGGGTCCTACTAGAGCTGGAGCTACTGAGCCCGGGGGTGCTGAGTCTGGAGCTGCTGAGCCTGGGGGTGCTGAGTCTGGGGCTGTTGAGCTTGGGGGTGCTACGTCTGGAGCCGCTGAGCCTGGGGTTTCTCCTGGTGCTGCGTCTCGGCGGGAGCCCCTCTCTCCACAGGAGGTGCGCGAGTGGTTTGCTCGCCGCTGGAGGCGTACTGCTGGAGCTGGAGCTTCTTCGACCGTCGAGGGTACTGGTGCCGCCGGTCCCGGAGGTGCTACGCTTGCGGGTCCTACTGGAGCTGGGGCTTCTGAGGGCGTTGGTGCTGAGTCTGCTGCTGTCTGTCCTGACGGTGGTTCTGCTGCTGGTGCTACTGGAGGTCCTGCCGCTGGAGGTGTTGGTGGCGCTGGTGCTGCCGCTGAGGGTGCTGGTGCTGTCCCTGCTGAGTCTGGAGCTGCCGCGCGGCCTCGGCCGTACTTCGTTCCGCTTCTGCAGCAGGTTCTTGGTCTTTCTCCTCCTGTAGAGTGTCCACAGCCTGTCCAGTCGCAGTCACTGTTGGAGCCTACCTCCCCACTGCCTGCTCCCTCTCCTTACACTGGTCCTACTGGAGGTCTTACTGAGCGTCGTGAGCCTGCGTCTCGTCCCGCGTCGCCTGTTCGTGCTGCCCGCGCTAGTGGTCGTGGTTCGCGTCCGCGTCCTCCTCCTGTCCCTGGCACGCACCGGATGTCTCTGCGTCCGTCCACTGCTCCTCTGCGTGCCCTTTTGCCTTCTCCTCCTGAGTCCTCCCTTCCTGTGCTTACCGACCCAGAGTCGGACTCCCTTCGTGCTGCCAGTCCTACTGTCACGCGTCTGCTTGCTACTGTCGTCACTGACCCCTCTTTTGAGTCTGCTGCTGCGTCTACTCTTGTCGCTGAGCTCGTCGACTTTGCTGCTCGCTGTCGTCTAGACTACGCTGCTAGTCTTGTTGCTGAGTCTGCGTCTGTCTGTCCTCCGTCCGTCGGGGGTGAGTGTGCTCTTGGCACGGACGTCCTAGAGGACAGGCAGGAGGAGTTCCAGTGTCTGGCTGCTGCTTCACCTCATCTCGCGTCTGTACTGCTTGCTCCTGAGGGAGACCCGGATGCACTAGACATCCTGACTCCGCGCTCTTACGCGGAGGCCGTAGAGGGTCCCTACTCCTCTCAGTGGCAGGTAGCTATGGATGCAGAGATGGCTTCCTGGAAGTCCACAGGCACCTACGTTGACGCGGTTCCCCCTCCTGGGGCGAACATCGTCAGTGGCATGTGGATCTTCAGGGTGAAGCGGCCGCCGGGCTCTCCACCTGTCTTCAAGGCGCGGTACGTCGCTCGTGGCTTCAGTCAGCGGCAGGGAGTTGACTACTTTCAGACCTTCTCTCCCACCCCGAAGATGACCACTCTTCGGGTGCTGCTGCACATAGCCGCGCAGCGCGACTACGAGCTTCACTCTCTCGACTTCAGCATTGCGTTCTTGCAGGGTAGCCTGCACGAGGAGATCTGGCTGCGCCGTCCACCTGGCTTCACTGGGACTTTCCCTCCTGGCACCCAGTGGAGCCTCCGACGGCCAGTCTACGGTCTCCGCCAGGCACCGCGTGAGTGGCACGACACACTGAGGACTACGCTTGCGGCTCTTGGGTTCGCTCCTTCTACTGCTGACCCGTCGCTGTTTCTGCGCACCGACACTTCTCTGCCGCCGTTCTACATCCTCGTGTACGTCGACGACTTGGTCTTTGCCACAGCGGACACTGCTGGACTCGCCTACGTGAAGTCCGAGCTGCTGAAGAGACACACGTGCACAGACCTGGGTGAACTGCGCCGCTACCTTGGCTTGCAGATCACTCGGGACAGAGCACGCCGCACCATTACCTTGACTCAGTCACACATGGTGCAGCAGGTCCTTCAGCGCTTCGGCTTCACGTACTCCTCGCCTCAGGCCACTGCTCTGTCTACTCGTCACTCGCTCTCAGCTCTGCCTTCGGATGAGTCCGTAGAGTCGAGTGGCTCGTACGCAGAGCTTGTTGGCTGCCTCATGTACCTGATGACCTGCACACGGCCTGACCTTGCATACCCTCTTAGCATTCTTGCACGCTATGTTGCTCCTGGGAGACACCGACCAGAGCACATGGCTGCAGCGAAGAGGGTATTGCGCTACCTGTGCAGTACGTCGGGCATGGGGCTAGTGCTTGGAGGGCGGAGTCCAGTGGTCCTTACAGGTCACGCGGACGCTTCTTGGGCTGACAACCAGGCTACGCAGCGGTCGTCACAGGGTTACACCTTCAGCCTTGGTTCCGGCTCTGTCTCGTGGCGGGCTACTCGCTCGTCTTCGGTTCTCAGCTCCATTTGTGAGGCTGAGATCTACGCAGGGGCCATAGCTGCACAGGAGCTTCGCTGGCTCACCTACCTGCTGACTGACCTTGGAGAGCCGCCTCGTTCTCCTCCAGTGCTGTACGTAGACAAAAAGGCCATGCTGGCCTTGTGTCGAGAGCAGCGTCTGGAGCACAGAACGAAGCACATTGCTCTTCGCTACTTCCTTGCTCGTGAGCTACAGCAGCGTGGACAGTTGCGGCTTGCGTACGTGGCCTCTGAGGCCAACACTGCTGATGTGTTCACCAAGGCACTCGCGCCTTGTGACCATCAGCGCTTCTGCACCCAGCTGGGTCTTGTACCTGTTTTGCCTCACTTGCTCTCCTCTTGACCTCACTTGTACTGTGACATATATATATACCTGCTCTTGCTTGTCTAGCTTTATATATATATGTCTGTACTCTTGCATGTGAACTGGCCTTTGGCCTTGCTCTTGTGCTCGGACTGTGTGGTGACTTTGTGATCCACCCTGAGCTTTGCTTTGCTTTGCTTGACTGGTCTTGTGACCCCTTGTTCTCCCCCACTTTGCCTATGGGGGTGTGTCAGAACATATATATAGCTTATGCTATTGTGTAGGCTGTAGTGGGGTATCCCATAGGGGGTACAACCCAACTAGGGTTTCTTATATGTACTCACTTCATTCATAGTTCATTCATTCTCGCTCTATTCTCCACAGGTAAGACCGTATGTTTTGTTGTTGAGATGGAGTGATATTCCTCAGTAGTATCGTGTACGCCATCATCGATTGATAGGTGTACTGCTGCTTCTCATATTGTGTGCCGTTTGTTGGGTATAGCAGGGACCCGTCGAAGAAGCCAAGGATTTGCGCTCCTTCCATCATCAGCTCGAATTCGAACGACCAGGTAAAGAAATCCTTCCCGTCAAAGGGTTTTGTCGTTTGCAGTTTTAGAACGTGCGCGAACTGCGACTGAACTTGTAGTGCGTCCAACGTTCTCTCTTGTCCCGGTGCAGGTTGTGGTTGTGGCATGAAGCTGACGGAGCCGCGCTGGGGCTCGTACGGAGCGAAGGTAGGTTGCTGTTGTTGATTCCCGCGTGCGTAGGATGAGCCATCGAGACTCATGGGGGTCACGTTGTTGTTGTTGTTGTTGCTGTTGTTTGATTGCGCAGGTGCTCCTTGCTGATGCTGCTCGTAGAAGGACATGAAGGAGAAGAACTTCTCCATCATGCTTGGATCGAAGCCCGCGCCTTGGTTTGCGGGTGTTTCAGTAGACCCAGCTGCCGGTCTCGTTGTTGTGCCTTCCTCTGTCTGTAGGCCAGAGGCAGGAGGTGGAGTAGGGGTAGTACCAGCAGAGCCGTTGGAGGAGCTCCTCTCCTTTCTGGTAGACATGTCTCTTGGTGTATTAGGTGTTAAGGAGAAATAATTTTAACCCTAACCAGCTCTCATACCATGTTGGGCTGAGTGCCCCTTAGGATCTTTGGTAGGGTTAAACTCTGAGTAAAGTGATGTAGTAGCGGAAGCGTTTAAATGAAGTCCTTGAACCACCTTGCGCTGGTATGTGAGGGCAAAGTAAGTTGTCTAAAACAAGCAAGTACAAAGTTTTACATAAGAGTACAAAGAATATGAAGAGATATAAGTAAACTGTTTTACTGTTGCGGTTCGATACAGTGCGACTCGGGCAACTGCTCAATGTCGAGTCAGTTGTGTGTCCTTGCTGTCGCGCTGCATTTGTCAAGTCATCAAAGGTCGCTGACCTTTGACTTTCGCGTAACCTCCAGCGGTTACTTCAACCTCCGAGGGTTGACTCGCTAGTGCCTCGATATGCTCTGCTTCGCTTGTGCCTTGGTGTTTCGACACGACAGAGGCGCTTAAGATTGCTTGTTCCCAGCAACTTGCTCATTTACAATTATGTGAACTTGAATGCTTTATTCCATTCCATCTTATTTAATATGTTTCCAACTCATTGCTGTGTTGTACTACGTATTAATGCCATTCAATCCAACGTACTTCCGAAGAGGCATTTTGCATCTGGTTGATAACCTTGCTTCCAATAAAATCCATATATTCCACTATCAGACTTCGTTATTTGCACCTTCACCTTCACCATCCTCTATCTGAAACCTAGCCTTTATTGCATCAAGCACCCGAGCCACACTCGACACATCAGCCACCACAGTGGACGAACAATTCCCCTGGCTGAACACGAGATGGTACCGCAGTGAGCAGGCAGCGGCGAGGCCATTATAGACAGGCACAGGGCATCCCTGGGGGCGAATCTCCAGCAGGGAAGCCTTTTCTGGCGTGAAGATCATGTTGGTGAGTGCGGCTCCGTGGCCCGCTATGTACAGGCGTGCTCGCATGAGGAGCGCACGGGCTGTACGGGTGGGGGAAGAGGGGGGGTTGAAGGAATGACGGAAAAGAATTGGAGAGGATAGGTGGTGCGGGTCCGTGGAGTGCTATGTAGAGGCGTGCTCGCATGAGGAGTGCACGGGCTGAAGAGTGGGGCAGAAGAAAGGGAAAGGAGGGGGAAGTATGGACGAAGGTCATGTTGGTGAGTGTGGCTCCGTGGCGTGCTATGTAGAGGCGTGCTCTCAAGAGGAGTGCACGGGCTAAGGGGAGGGGAGGGGGAGTGTGGGAGGGATATGGGACACAATGGAATTGGAGAGGAGAGGTGGGTTTTTTCCTAGGAGCCAACATGTTGCAGGGTTTCTTCTTTAGAATTTTCAAGAAGTAACCTGTGAAGCCAACATGCTGAGAGGCGATGTGAGTTCAAATCTGGGTGCAGAAACTTAGGAAAAAAAAACTCAAAAGCAACACTGGAAATGAAGCAGCCGACACGTGACACCCATTCACACACATCACGCATGGCTTGGAGAACTGTCCTTGACGTGCCTAGAGCATTTTCCTTCACATGTAAACACTAACACGTGCATACATATGTACATATATATGTATAAGTACACCATTGCATACCCTTGCTCGCACACCTCTCACCTTGTAGAATTGGCAGCGACCCATCATACACCACCACTCTCTCGCGCCCAAACCGCCTCACCACCTCCGCCTCCACCTCCTCAACATTCAGAATCGCCCGTTTCTTCCCTTTCGGCCGCTTCGCCAGCACGACCACCCAGTCGGAGGGGAGGGAGCGAGCCTCATCGGGGGAGAGAGGGCGGTGGTTGCGGAGAGTCCAGTCGGGGTTGAAGAGAGGGATGCCGGAGGGGTGCAGCAGATGGCGGCGCCGCATCATCTGCCAGAGCGACTGGCTGGGATGGTGGCAGTTCTGAAAGATGGGCTGGGGGAGGGAGGGAAGAGGGTGGGGAATGGAAGGGGACATGGAATGATTGCAGCCCTGGGTGCATGACCTGACCTGGATGGGCCTAGGGAGAAGGATGGAAGCTATCACGTTGCATATATTTCTTTCTTCTTCAAGGCTGGTATATTGAATTAATTGTTTGTTTATTTAGATATCATTCATTTATTTAGTTATTTAATCATATATCCCTTTATTTATGTATTCATTCAAGGGGGTATATCCGCACCACACACATGCATGTTTTACCTGGTACAGCACATTCGCATGAAATAGGTCGTTTCCAAAAGAAAAAAATAAAAATAAAAAATGAGGCGCCTAAAAATTAGTCTTACCTGGTACACCACGTTCGCATGAAATAGGTCGTTCCCAGATGTGGGGAGCAGGCGCATCTGATCCAGTGGGATGCCTATGAGTGGCGCACCCAGTTGCTCGTACATTTGCACCTGTGGGGAGAGGCATGGGATGACACAGGAATGAAAGTTTAGTGCCTAAGAGCGACGCACTCACTCGCAGGATGACTCTCAATAGATGCCTATGAGTGGCGCGCCCAGCTGCTCGTGCATACGCACCTGTGGGGAGAGGCATGGACATGTCATGGGCATAAAGATAAGAATGATTTTTTTATCGACTCGATATGTGCTTAGTAGCAGCGCACCCAACTGCTCGTGCAATACGCCTGTGGGGAGAGAGAGACATTGATATAGAATGGCATGAGATGAGAAGGAGACAGGCATGAGGTGGGAATGAGATGGAAGATGGTGGGAATGAAATGGCAGATGGTGGTTCAAAGAGAGCTTCAGGGGAGAGGCATGGGAACATGCACGCTTGAGGAGTATGGGAATGAACTGGGAATGAGATGGCAGCTACCTAGAACCCACCTGGCCGCCCCTGACAAGTACAGGCAGCTGTCGCAGCGGGGAGGGCATGAGGGGCGCAGCGACAAGGAAGAGCGGGAAGATTTCAATGAGGAAGTGGTAGAAGTTGTTGCTGGGTTGGTGCGCCCAGTTGAACACCGCTGCTGGCAGCTCGTGCACCATGTGGCCCGCATCGTATGTGACCTGTTGCGAGTGAATGCATATATGGCAACAAGGAAGAGTGGGAAGATCTCAATGAGAAAATGGTAGAAGTTTTCGGCCGGCTGGTGCGCCCAGTTGGAGACTGCTGTAGGGAGCTCATGGACCATGTGGCCCGCGTCGTTTGAGAATTCTCAAAAGTGCGCCCAGTTGGAGACTGCTGTAGGGAGCTCATGCACCATGTGGCCCGCGTCGTACGTGACCTGGTGAGAGGGAAGGGAAGGGAGTGCAGCGCACGGCACGATGGTTGTGGGGCCCACAGAAATGGCAGCTCCTGCTCCTGCACCATGTTCCTCTCATCGTACGTGGCCTGGTGGTGGAAGGGAGAGTGGTTTAACACGCATGGAAGAATCGAATTCAAGGCGTGATCCCCACAAAACCCCCGGCCGGATTGAACACTGCTATTAGTCGGCCGCGCGCCATGTGCTTGAAAGCGCATGAGCACATGAACACATGACCGCATGAGCACATGAACACATGACCGCATGAGCACATGAACACATGACCGCATAAGCACATGAACACATGACCGCATAGCAACATGAACACATGACCGCATGAGCAAGCAAGGTCTCTACCCACCCTCCGTTTTACCCAACCCTTCCTTCTACACAAATCCTCCCTTCTACCCAACCCTCCCTTCTACCCAACCCTCCCTTCTACCCAACCCTCCCTTCTACCCAACCCTCCCTTCTACCCAACCCTCCCTTCTACCCAACCCTCCCTTTCACCCAACCCTCCCTTCTACCCAACCCTCCCTTCTACCCAACCCTCCCTTCTGCCCAACCCTCCCTCCATGCAACTATCTCTCACCGCTTCTGGGAAGTGCGGGCACCCGTTCCGGACGAACAGGTGCGTGAGGTTGAGACCAAACCCATTCTTGAGCCCCTTTGACCGCACTCTCTCCCCCGCAAATCCCTCTCCCCCCCGTTACACAACCCTCCACATAACCTCCCTCTCACCGCTCCTGGGAAATGCGGGCACCCATTCCTGACGAACAGGTGCGTGCGGTTCAGAGCAAACCCATTATCAGTCAAATACACATCCTCCAGCCGCATCATCTGCAGCGCATGCACGCCGTGAATCCCCACGTCCTGCTCGTGCGAGCACGCCTCGTCGAATCTCGCCTGCGACCGAGACCCGTCGCCACGCCCGGCGCTGTCCGCTTTAAGGGGGCAGTTTATAGGGGGGATGGGTTCGCTCATGGGCGGATCGACAAGCTCGGGGTTCCAACAGGCCTGCACGTTGGGGAAGCGGGCGGTGCATGAGCCGAAGGCGGGGCAGGGAGGGCCGTGACAGTCGAGCTTCACCGCCCATTCTGACTCGCCTGAGCCACTCTCCTCTGAGGCACTCCCACTCTCTTCTGAAGCACTGTCAACGAACGCGCTTGACACGCTTCCTGCTATTTGATTGCTGCTGCTGGAACTGGTGTGCGAGTTGTCCGAGGGGAGGTGGTGGAAGAAGTGGAGGAAGACGTTGGCCAGGCGAGCCGTGGAGAGAGGAAAGCCCAGCGGCCGCGTCACAAGGTTGACTCGCTCAGGGTGGGCCCTGGCGAAGGATGGATGGAGAGAGAAAGGGGGAGAGAGAGAGAGAGAAGCCGTTGGGGCGAACCGTGGAGGGAGGGAAGCCCAGCGGCCGCGTCACGAGGCTCACTCGCTCGGGGCGGGTCCTGGCGTGGAGGGCGAGAGGGAGAAAGGGCTTTGAGAGGATTCACCTACGGTCTCCCTTGTTCCTCCAAGGTTCCGTACTGACGTGAAGCGAGGTTGTTTTTGAGACGTCTCAGAAACAACCTCGCTTCACGTGGAGAAAGGGCTTTGGTAGAATTCACCTACTGTCTCCCTTGTTCCTCCGGCATTCCGTACTGACCTGGAAGGCTTGGGTAAGGATTCTCCAACTGACCAAAATCGCAAAGACAGGTCATTTAACTTACGAAAATTGTCCAACTGACCTGAATCGCACATAATAAGATTCGCCAGCTGACCGGAATCGCAGTGGAAGGTAATAAGATTCACCAACTGACCTACATTCGTAGTGGCAGGAAGATTCGCCTACTGATTTAAGCAGTGGCAGGTAAACTTTCCAACTGACCTAAGTCGCAGTGGCAGGTAATAGTTGAGCTCGCCTTCGAACTCGCCGACTCTGCCGACCAGATGGGACCTCGGAGGTGATTGCTGGCCGTTGATCGCTGTCGGGAGTAATCATCACGGTTGGGAAAGGGAAAGAGGGAAAGGAAGAGAAAGGAGTACGAGGATACTGTGAGGGATCGCTGCAGCGTCGCGGGCTTTCGTCACCGTTCACGGTGGGTGCATTGACGGAAATCGTCTAGAAGAAGTCGAGGTGGTATTGACTGAACAGGAGGAGCGCTGGAGCGTGGCGGCCTACATTCGTCACCATTCACGGTGCTCTCCTCCGTAAATCCGTCGGATGACGCATTGACGGAAACCGTCACGAAGACGGCAACGACCAGCCGCAAGAGACAGAGGCGACCAGCGCGTGCCGCCATTATAACTTATTACTTCAGTCAGTCAGAATCAATGAGGGAAGGAGCGAGATTCCTCAAGAAGCTGTATAGTACAAGATAGAAAGGTCATGACTGCGACGAGAGAGACTTTTTGCAAGAGAGCACCTAGAGAACAAGTGAGGAGCCTTCTTTCGCTGCTTATCAGGGATGTATGGTGATTAAGGCAGGTAGGCTCACCTCACCTGCCAGGTGAGAGGTGAGGTGTGCTCTCTCACCTGGCAGACTGGCAATACAGCAAAACAAGCGACTGTATTGAAGATTGTACACCTGATGCGCGTTATAGTCCCCCGTCCTCCCCTTGTGCTCTGGGCTTATAAGCGTACATGTCATTTCGGGAACTTCGTGGCTTTCGCCACGGCAAAGAGGTGCTCCTAAAAGGCACGGGTTGTTACCCGTTTGTCTTTTCTCTAAACAGTGTGGGGTGGCCTTGTTTGGTGTGCGTTCAATGGGTCTGTTACCACAACTTTCACCCATCTCATTAACATCCCATTACATTTCACGTCCAGCACTGTCACAAACAACACCTTCAACTATCCATCCAATAAAGCTGCTCCACCTGTACCCAACCCAAATACCCACTCGTACTGTCATATTCTTGCGAATGTGTACAAGGCGTACACCTGTTGCATTAGCGAGGAACCAAAATCGTGTAAGGGGGACAGAATCCCCTCTCACGACGCACGCACAGCCGGAAAGAGGAGGAGATGTGCACTCCTCCTAAGTGGTGACGACGGGCCGTCACAGCTGCATCCACTCAGCGGCTGCCAAGTAGCCTGACATCACAGCGGGAGCACCGGCATCAATGAGCTCCTGCCGGCGCGCAGACTGGGCCACCCAGTCAGGGGTCGGCACCGTTACCCAAGCCGGCAGCACGCGACCACGGCGACGTGGAGTCTCTGCCGGTGGCCTTTCCTCGTGCGACATAGCTTGTGGCGGAGACGCGTTAAGGTTGAGAGCAGGGCTTGCACGCTCCATGCGTGCGACGATGAGCGGGTTACGGGAGTATGGTTTCGACTCTCTTCATTGCTGCTCCGCTTCACCATTCCCTGATTATCGTGGATAGCCTTCACGCGATGCGGAGACCAAGTCTTGCATATCGTTTCTTGATAGATGACGCGTGCAGTGTGCAACATCATATTGATTCGGCGCCGTCGTATCGTTATGCTCTAGCTCGCTCTTGCAGAATTGTCGCTTAGAAGTTTATTCCCCCCAAGGCCTAAATACTCTATGGCGCAGCAGGCGTCGTGCCAGCATCCGTCGTGCACCATACTGTGGACATGCAACCGGCCCGGCGTAGACTAGCCTCGTAGCCAGCCATCGCCATGTGAAAATTGTAGAACAGGAATGTGTGGACTATGAATGAAGGCAGTACAAATATGAAACCCTAACTGGGTTGTACCCCCTATGGGATACCCCACTACAGCCTACACAATAGTATAAGCTATAGATATGTTCTGACACACCCCCATAGGCAAAGTGGGGGAGAACAAGGGGTCACAAGACCAGTCAAGCAAAGCAAAGCAAAGCAAGCTCGGGGTGGATCACAAAGTCACCACACAGTCCGAGCACAAGAGCAGGGCCAGAGGCCAGTTCACATGCAGGAGTACAGACATATATATATAAAACTAGACAAGCAAGAGCAGGTATATATATATGTCACAGTACAAGTGAAGTCAAGAGGAGAGCAAGTGAGGCAAGACAGGCACAAGACCTAGCTGGGTGCAGAAGCGCTGATGGTCACAAGGCGCGAGTGCCTTGGTGAACACATCAGCAGTGTTGGCCTCACAGGCCACGTACGCAAGCCGCAACTGTCCACGCTGCTGTAGCTCACGAGCAAGGAAGTAGCGAAGAGCAATATGCTTCGTTCTGTGCTCCAGACGATGCTCTCGACACAAGGCCAGCATGGCCTTGTTGTCTACGTACAGCACTGGAGGAGAACGAGGCGGCTTCCAAGGTCAGTCAGCAGGTAGGTGAGCCAGCGAAGCTCCTGTGCAGCCATGGCCCCGGCGTAGATCTCAGCCTCACAACTGGAGCTGAGAACCGAAGACGAACGAGTAGCCCGCCACGAGACAGAGCCGGAACCAAGACTGAAGGTGTAACCCTGTGACGACCGCTGCGTAGCCTGGTCGTCAGCCCAAGAAGCGTCCGCGTGGCCTGTAAGGACCACTGGACTCCGCCCTCCAAGCACTAGCCCCATGCCTGACGTACTGCACAGGTAGCGCAATACCCTCTTCGCTGCAGCCATGTGCTCTGGTCGGTGTCTCCCAGGAGCAACATAGCGTGCAAGAATGCTCAGAGGGTATGCAAGGTCAGGCCGTGTGCAGGTCATCAGGTACATGAGGCAGCCAACAAGCTCTGCATACGGACCACTCGACTCTACGGACTCATCCAAAGGCAGAGCTGAGAGCGAGTGGCGAGTAGACAGAGGAGTGGCCTGAGGCGAGGAGTACGTGAAGCCGAAGCGCTGAAGGACCTGCTGCACCATGTGTGACTGAGTCAAGGTAATGGTGCGGCGTGCTCTGTCCCGAGTGATCTGCAAGCCAAGGTAGCTGCGCAGTTCACCCAAGTCTGTGCACGTGTGTCTCTTCAGCAGCTCGGACTTCACGTAGGCGAGTCCAGCAGTGTCCGCTGTGGCAAAGACCAAGTCGTCGACGTACACGAGGATGTAGAGCGGCGGCAGAGAAGTGTCGGTGCGCATAAACAGCGACGGGTCAGCAGTAGAAGGAGCAAACCCAAGAGCCGCAAGCGTAGTCCTCAGTGTGTCGTGCCACTCACGCGGTGCCTGGCGGAGACCGTAGACTGGCCGTCGGAGGCTCCAATGGGTGCCAGGAGGGAAAGTCCCAATGAAGCCAGGTGGACGGCGCAGCCAGATCTCCTCGTGCACGCTACCCTGCAGGAACGCAGTGCTGAAGTCGAGAGAGGGAAGCTCGTAGTCGCGCTGAGCGGCTATGTGCAGCACCACCCGAAGAGTGGTCATCTTCGGGGTGGGAGAGAAGGTCTGAAAGTAGTCAACTCCCTGCCGCTGACTGAAGCCACGAGCAACGTACCGCGCCTTGAAGACAGGTGGAGAGCCCGGCGGCCGCTTCACCCTGAAGATCCACATGCCACTGACGATGTTCGCCCCAGGAGGGGGAACTGCGTCAACGTAGGTGCCTGTGGACTTCCAGGAAGCCATCTCTGCATCCATAGCTGCCTGCCACTGAGAAGAGTAGGGACCCTCTACGGCCTCCGCGTAAGAGCGCGGAGTCGGGATGTCTAGTGCATCCGGGTCTCCCTCAGGAGCAAGCAGTACAGACGCGAGATGAGGTGAAGCAGCAGCCAGACACTGTAACTCCTCCTGCCTGTCCTCTAGGACGTTCGTGCCAAGAGCACACTCACCCCCGACGGACGGAGGACAGACAGACGCAGACTCAGCAACAAGACTAGCAGCGTAGTCTAGACGACAGCGAGCAGCAAAGTCGACGAGCTCAGCGACAAGAGCAGGCGCAGCAGTGGACTCAAAAGAGGGGTCAGTGACAACAGTAGCAAGCAGACGCGTGACAGTAGGACTGGCAGCACGAAGAGAGTCCGACTCAGGGTCGGCAAGCGCAGGAAGAGAGGACTCAGGAGGAGAAGGCAAAGGGGCACGTAGAGGAGCAGTGGACGGACGCAGAGACATCCGGTGCGTGCCAGGGACAGGAGGAGGACGCTGACGCGAACCGCGACCACTAGTGCGAGTAGCACGAACAGGCGACGCAGGACGAGACGCAGGCTCACGACGCTCAGCAAGACCTCCAGTAGGACCAGTGTAAGGAGAGGGAGCAGGCAGTGGAGAGGAAGGCTCCAACAGTGACTGTGACTGGACAGGCTGTGAACACTCTACCGGAGGAGAAAGACCAACAACCTGGTGCAGGAGCGGAACGAAGTACGGTCGAGGCCGCGCGGCAGCTCCAGACTCCGCAGGGACAGCACCAGCACCCTCAGCGACAGCACCAGCGCCACCAACACCTCCAGCGGTAGGACCTCCAGCAGCACCAGCAGCAGAACCGCCGCCGGGACAGATAGTAGTAGTCTCAGCACCAACACCCTCAGGAGCTCCTGCTCCAGTAGTACCCGCAGGCCCAGCAGCTCCGGGACCGGCAGCACCAGCCCCCTCGACGGTCGAAGAAGCTCCAGCTCCAGCAGCACGCCTCCAGTGGCTAGCAAACCACTCGCGCAGCTCCTGTGGAGAGAGGGGCTCCCGGCGAGACGCAGCAGCAGGAGAAACCCCAGGCTCAGCAGCTCCCGACCCAGCACCCTCAGGCTCAGCAGCTCCAGACTCAGTACCCCCAGGCTCAGCAGCTCCCGACCCAGCACCCCCAGACCCAGCACCCCCTAGCTCAGCAGCTCCAGGCACCGTACCCCCCGGCTCAGCACCCCCAGGCTCAGCACCCTCCGCAGTAGCACCCCCAGGCCCAGCACCCCCAGGCTCAGCACCCCCAGTAGCAGCACCTCCAGGCTCGGCACCCCCGCGCACAGCACCCCCGGAGTCAGCACCCCCAGGCTCAGCACCCGCAGCAGCTCCAGAGTCACCAGTAACCTCGACCGGGTCAACTGCGTCTACCTGGGACACACCTGAGGGGGCAGGAACCTGAGGGGGGAGGGGGTCGACCGGGGGGGGAACTGGCACAAGGAAGTCCGGCGGAGGGGGGAGGGAAGGAGTGCGGTAGGGGAAGAGGCGGTAGAAGGGGACTGACTCGTCGAACGTGACGTCCTGGGAGGACAGAACACGACGAGAGGAGGGGTGGTAAAACTGCCACCCGGGAGCGTCTGTGGGGAAGCCAAGGAAGACACAGGGAGCAGCACGAGGGGACAGCTTGTCCGCAGACAAGTCGCGGACAAACGCCCGAGATCCCCAGACACGGAACGCCGACGCATCGCCAACCTTCCCCGTCCACAGCAAAGCTGGGGAGGTCTCCGGTCGGGAGACTCTGGGCTGAAGGTTGATCTGATGCGCGGCGTAC